GAAATATTTTAGTAATCAGAATGGCTACAAATTTACAGGACAAACACATAAATTTTCGTCTTGGTCTCCCTCATGCATAGTTCTAATTCCTTTTCCTGGTTTTAGTTTTTTGTTTTATCAGCTCTTCAACGTTTGTATTAAGTTTTGGATTTTCAATTATTTCATCCTAGTGCATCACTAAAGATACATAATTTGTCAAAATGCGGATCTGGTGCAGTTATATTGGTATCTTAAATATATTTGTATACAAAAAAGTGAGATAATTATACTAGTTAGAGATGAGGACACTATCCAAGTCAAACGGTGTTTAAAGCATATTGTTTAAACATATATATAAAGGTTTGCATTACTATATTGAAAGCTTCAACATAGTAATTGTTTTAAGATAGCCGCAAAGTTTGTAAAACGGACTTTTTTTCTATTCCTGTTGTTTTAATGGACAATATAAAAATAATCCCCATGTTCTACTTGGCTTTCCATACACTTTTAAATACACAATATTCTTCCGTTTATGATCAGTCAAATATTTATTCATTTCAGATAATATGAGATTAGGTAAACTGATGTTAAGAGATACCATAGGCCTCTATGCTCCAAAAGGAAATTACACTCTACTGTACGACGGAGAGGGAGACATATCTTTATAATTTAATAATAAAGAAATAAACTTACATTTTTAACTTAAAAATATCTTTTCTATATAATTTTATTACATTCTGAGGCGTACAAGAAGTTTGAAAACGCTTGGTATTTATATTTGATGCCGGGATAATACGTATGACGTCACGTGTATGACGTCACCTTGTTTAGTTGCCAAGACGATAGCATCATTTCGCAGAATTTCTGTTTATGAAATTTTACACCGAAATAAAATAACTGATATGGAGTGATTGGTTTATTTAGCATTAGACTGAAGCTTAGCCTACGTAAAACGTAGGTTTTACTGTCGCAAATTAACCTGGACGTCTTAATAACATGGGCGTGACGCGGAACAGCCAAGTTTTTATATTAATGCATTTTCGCTGAAAGTAGATTTACTATGAGCAACTGGTGGACGATACATGTGTATAGGTCGTCATTTAATACCTTTTTACAAATATGAGCGATAATTAAAACAATAGAATATGTTGAAATATATAAGCAAATATTATCAGGCAATAAAGAAATTAATAATATTTTCAAATCATGCCACACACGAATCAGCCTGGAACAAAATAAAATGAATTTAACATATAGGAATTCATTTGGGACAGAGAACTTAAACTTTAATCTACATAGAGAACTCTAAATGTAAAGTAGAGAGCAAGAAAGATTATAAGATCAACTTTGGTTCACTTTTAGGTAGAATGGTTATTGATATAAACGAAGGAAAAGCGGGCATCGAACTTATTCTCAGCAAAACAAATCCAGCCAACCCTGTTCGAAAAGTTCGTTTTATTATGCCAGGATTTGAAGATCGATACGAGAAATTTCCATTTTATCCACCATTTTTGGAAACTATGAAACGATATTCTGAACAACGGTATATGGACATACGGTAGAGATTTTGTGACGCCAATGGAAACACTATACCAATTTCCTTATAGATAGCTTCCGATTGGCGAAACCAAATTCAGCATGTTATCCTGACTGCTAGTGAAACAATTCTAGTTTGTTTAAGCCTTATATAGTTTATCCTTGCCATCAGATAAGGATCTCTTTTAATTTCGGTTCTCAAACAAGAAAATCAACTGACGTTTTGTCAAGATCTATAATAAAGCCAAAGAAAACAACTTTGAGCGTGACTCGCCTAAAGTCACTTATGAACGCAAAATTGCTATGACCAGTAAATTGTGATTCGTTGCTTTGATATTACAAATGCAAAACTAAATGGCAAATTTTGTGAATTTTTTTTTTCAAAGTTGGAAGGCCATGAACACATTATGTATAATGTCAAAGTTACCGTCAAAGTTACCATATATATATAAATTGTCCCTAAGTAATCTTAAAATATATAACTATCTATGTTGTTTTATTAACAATTCTTATTTGTTATTTTTCTCAATTGGAAGGCCATCTTCTTTACTAAATATTGTAGGGTTAAATATTTGCTTTAACTGTTGCGAATTGTGAAATAATTGAACTGTGTCGTAACATCTAAATAATAGCTATGCTATATGTTCAAATCTAGCCTGAACCTACAACATGGGACAATAGACGAAAACAGGAACATTATACAAACACGGGATCAGAAGGGGCAGCCATTGAACACATGATAGATTTAAGCAATCGGATTGGTGCAAATCCATGGTTTAATATGCCTCATGCTGCAGATGACAACTTCATCACCCAGTTTGCTAAGTTAGTAGGAAAGACCCTTCGTAATGATTAGAAGGTAAATAGCAACTATTTTATTGTTTGATTTTTTTTTTCAATTGTCAACTTCCCATTTCTCAGCAGTAACATACCCTCATCTCCGACATATGGAGTTTAAATAAATCATTTATTACGTTACGCTTATGCATTTTCACATCATATGGACTTCGTTAACATTGGGTGCTGATTAAAAATATCTTTTTCAACAGATATGTGAAGCAGAATGACTGAAATCGACACTGCATACGTTTTACGCAATTAGTTATGATGTTTCTTTTGTAAGCACGATTGGAAATTGTGTTATGTCTTATCGTTTGTGGTTTGAATTCTGTAATTTCGGTACATTTCACATATGTCTTATTTGTCAGTATAGTCGAGTTAATTTCCATTGATAAAGTATTGTGTTAGTCCAAATAATTATGACGTCGTCACAGCATTAATTTAAAATAGCCTTTCAAGACCGTCATAATCATGATAATATTTGGACTAGTATTGTGAAAATAATTTAGAATTTTTGGATCTAGTTCCATATAATTGTATGAATTTCAAGATTGATATACACGTCACAAAAATACGTCACTTTTTGTGGCGTTGATCCATTCTTGTGACGCGCAGTTTGTGGTGTCCTGTGCTGTCGTTAATTTATGGGAGATGTCCGTTGTTATTCTGCGGGTAACATGTTGTAATGCACTATTATATTATTTATTTATGTATTTCTCTGTGCTGAGTGTCCTTGCGTTTATTTGTACTGTATTCCTGTCACGAAGTGTTGTCATTTTAGCGGTATTTTTCGACATTGCCATATAAGCGGGAGGTTTGGCTGGCCATAAAACCAGGTTCAACCCACCATTTTCTTAAAATGTCCTGTACTAAGTCAGGAATATAGCAGTTGTTATCAAATAGTCCGTTTCTGAGTATGTTGGCGTTTGTTTTTGGTGCAGTTTAGTGTTTCTGTTGTTCCGTTGTTTTTCTCTTATAGTTGATGTGTTTTCCTCGGTTTTAGTTTGTAACCCGAATTTGTTTTCTCTTAATCGATTTATGACTATTGAACAGCGGTATACTACTGTTGCCTTTATTTACGGTCACCATCACAATGGCATATTGGTTGACCGATACGATGTGTCGGTGTTTCGACTCATAAGCGACATTTTCGATTTCTTAGATCTTAAGATACCAGTGTACTTTTCTGATCTGTAATTTTACCGATTGTGACATTTTGACTGAGTGTGGATTTACATAGCGAGTGGTGCATACACCACAAGAGACGCTTACATTGTCGACGCACCCGGTCTTGTTCCTTTTGGAGGTAAATGCTTTTCCTTAAGATTTTCTTTGTTTAACTCTAAAGTAACATATGTGAAATAATTTTAGGTCGTTGTATTCCTTAATTCTAGCATGGTAACATTCATTCTACCTACTTGATTAGTAGAAATATGCGTTTGATTTAAGATTTACATTGAATATTCAAATGGAGTATGGAATGGAATATTTCGACAGACTCATTATACCCAGGAACAAGGCACGAAACTCCACCTTGATCCAAATAGCCGGAGAGCAGGAATGAGATACTATAATAAGAGATCTTCCGAAATTATGCAAATTTGGAAAACGGTTTGTTAAATCAGATTGGTAAATGCTAATAATAATGTGAGTTAGATAGTTAAAATAATTGTTCCTGTACAAAAATGTTAAAAGAATCAAATATTTTGACAAACGTTCATTGTGTAAATTAACAGTTAGAACATATTTTTCTTCTAACTGAAAGAACCGTCTTTGTTGAGATATCTTGTTCAATATAAAGTCTTTAATATGCTATCAATATGTATATTTATAATAATATCGCAATGAAGTTATTACCCATAATTCACGCATAATACATAGGAAGGAAAGTGATTAAGGGTAATTATAACACAAGAAAAAAAGCCCGTATCGGTACCACAAAATAATACTCTGAGTACAGACATACTGGAAAACTTTATAATATAATAAATTTATAATTTTTCATTTCCCGGCGAAACTTCGGAAGCATCATCTGTAGACACAGAAATATTATACAACAGATGTCTTATTAATTAAGTCTTATATTTTAAAACAATCAAATGTTACTAAATAACCACACCTTCCAGTATAGTGTGGATACCTATATGTATTAGTGTTGCTCTCAGTTAGAACTTGCGGTCACAAGTCACAATCGTTTGTAGCTATTATTTCAGAACTAACTAATAAAGTATTTGACCAAATGCAATAAAAAATTGTTTTGCTTGGATATTTAAAAGTTGAAATATGGTAAAATTGATTTAGGTGTTCGGATCACAACCTGACAAAATTGTACCAGTTTGGGCATGGCAGACAGGTTACCAAGACTACACAAGACAAGCCATTGAAGATTTGTGAAATAGAACACGAAACTTCAAAGCAATAGCTATTACTGGTTATTTCGATTGCAATAACTTCGCAGGCAAGCATGCAAGTGTGATGCATATATACAACTGGTTTTTCGTTTATACATACAAATGAAACACGAAAATGAATATCTGTTATTTTTCAAGAAATTTGTTGTTTTGCAAAAATTAAACATATAATGAATTAAAGAAATTGTTAATTTAAACTGTTTTTTTTTTTTTTTTCATTATAGGCAGCAGAGATGCTAAACATGTCGAATATTCAAATGGAGACATATTGCAATAATCAAATGTCGCAATCAGAGTCGTCATTTTAATATTATATGGACCTCGCCAAGGTGAATATTCAATAAGAAAGACTTACGAGTGTTTACTGTCTTTGAAGTATCTTCCTCACAGAAAGCTTTCTATTGTTTTAAAATAGTGTGGGTTTTTTGGTATCGATACAGAAATTCTAAATTATGGTGATCAAATCGTTTATAACTAGGAATAATTAGTTATATTAAAATTGTCTACGCACTCTGTAGTACTAGCCTTTCGTTGATATGTGTCCCAAACAATTTTACGTTAAAGATCCGATGCCACAAGAAACCCTAAATGTTCCACAAATATTGTAAAGACTAGCCAGAAAAAATAGTAGAGAATGACAACAAGTAAAAAAAATTAAAACAACAAAAATACCGAACTCCAAGAAAATTCAGAACGGACAGTCCCTCAACAATTGGCAAAATCAAAAGCATCAAACACATCAAACGAATGGAAAACAACTGTCATATTCCTGACTTGGTACAGGCATTTTCTTATGTAAAAACTCGACTGGCTGGAATAAGAAAGTCGATTATAGAATCGGAGTAATGTATAATTATAATCAATTAATCAGTGCCAAGAAGTCATATTGTTTTAGTACATGACTAAGACAACAAATTTCTACTGTCAAACATATTTCAATCCGAAAATGTTTAATAAAAATACACTTATTGTATAGTCTAATATGATGAACAAAACAATAAAACACATACATTTTTTTTAAAAGATCCCCTTTGTTTTATATGTATAATGTAAGAAGTAGTAGACTGTAAAATTTCAATTTGAAATTAAACTTATTATATTCCTTAATTTAGAAACATGGACTTAAACTTCTGATGTACGAAGACGGACCATCAATAATGGAAGGCAGTGCCATTGCCCACGGAATTAGTCACGACGACGTCATGAATAAAGCAATCGCATTTAATAGAGATCAACACATCAAGTCTGTAGTTAACAATCTTCTTGAAGCTTGGTATAAGATTGTGAAAAATGATCCACAAAATTCTTCACCAGGTAAGAACTAATCATTTTAAGCAGCATTGATATTCAGGTTTGGGTCTTAGGAATTTAAAGCTATATCTATTCATATGAATAGATGCGTATTCTTGAATATCGTAGTTATATTCCCTTGTATTTTAGGGGTTTAGATGAATGGGTGCTCAGTTCTTTGTCATTAGTTTTGACGATGTGCTCATGTTCAAATTTCTATCTTTCAATGATAAAAGTGTGTAGAATGACTATTAGACATTTTCGATAACTAATCTATACTGACACTTACACCTATGCAAAGGACGACAGGTAACCTTTCTGAGAAGGGTCATCTCAAGGTATAGATTGACCACTGGCATTTATATTATATATTGTTTTCTAATTTACATTTTAAATACTGTATAAAACATATATTATCAAGCATTTGTTAGTCTATTGGCTCTGTTATGTAGCGGCGAATAGACCGATCTTTATATTGTACTTTGCAAAAAAATGGGGGGCTTTCTGTAAATTTGTAGAACTTACACAGAAACAGGAACGTGCATTTTAATAGCGTGAAACATAACGTTTAAATATATAGATTATATGATACTATATTTAGGAAAATAGCTGACGTCGGCGACAAAGTCGGCCTGCACAGACCTAACTTACGGCATATAATTTGTTCATTTGTTGTCTCTACAGCGTCACGAATACTTTATAGCACTTCAATTCGCCAATTGTATTTTTTATCGTAACACAGTATTCCGTTAAAAGTCTATTGAATTTCCTGCATTTTCCCTTAAGATCGACAGGTTTTCGAGCAAATTGCTGCCGTGAGTATTGCGTCAGTATAGGATACCGAATTCGATAAATTTTGTCTGCAATTGGGATAAGACAATTCCCGACCTATTTGCTGCAATAGCATAAAATTTGAGCATCGTTCTGTTGTCAAACTATATATTTCTGTAGATGTCCCATCAATCGTGCCCTCTGCGATCGATAATTTTAACCAATTTCACAGAAACTACCTCCGTGCATTGACTGTTGACCATGTAGTAAGTGATCCAGTTTTCTCATTAAAACTGGGTATAATCTCATCGTTAACGGTTCAGTGCAAACATAGAAAGCGAAAGTTGAATTTGTTGATGGAGACATTAAGAAAAACCAAATAGAATCACAAATTCATCATTAAAAAAATCCCAAACTAATGAAAGCACTCGGTGTTTCTAGCGCCGATTCCGAATAAAAAAACATTATAAGATCAATTACAGAATTTGTATATTTTTTACCTCCAATTAAATTTTAAGAGGCAATTCATTCAGTAAATTTCGACGTCTTGATACGGTCCCGTATATCGGTGTCGGTATAAGTGTCTGTGAAGACGACTTTTCGAAAATGTCTAATACCTCTATAAGGTGTATATTTACAATATTAAAATTATCTACAAATTCAACGATCAAATAAGAATGTGTATCTGTTTATTTAAGTTTCTTATCTATGTATTCTTTACAGGTGGGTTGTTCAATTATTTTTCCTCAACTGGTACTCCATCAAAATATGGCAGCTGGGGAATGCTTGAATACACAGGACAAGATCCTTGAACAGTACCTAAGTATGTAGCGACTCAGAGTTTCATTACGCGTCATTATAGTCATAATTCTGTAGACATACCGTGCAGTTTCCTTCAGCACACAACCCTTGGATATGGTTGTTTCCTGCAGAAACGCGGGGCTCTTAATTGGTGGTGCGCTGTAACTGACGATGATGGCGTCACTTGGTCGGTAAATATATATTGCCTGTTATGAATCACAATCGAAGAAAGTAGCATTCGCATTGATTTAAATTTCGGACTGTTGAAAATATAGTCAATATAATATAGTGGTAATGAATACGATGATAAAAGTTTTTATTGGTATTCACATAGGCAACAAAAGACACAAAGAAGCAGTATGATAGGAAGCCATTTGAAGAATTGAAATTTTTAGCTTGTACAGGGTCATACAGTTATGAATGAAGCCTGAAAAATAAGAACTGCATAAAAAGAAAAAAGTGTAGAAAGAAAAACCCAAAATACGACAAAAATGTTACCAAGTATTTTTCCGTTAATGCACTATTAGAGTAGCTTTCATCAATGAAAAGAAAAATCTATAAACTAAATGATCAAAACTTGTTTTGAAAAGTGTCAGTTATTGAACAATCTTTTTTCTAGTTATTAATGAAAGTTGGTTAAAAGTTGCCCGTTTGTAATGAATAGAGAGATTGTGTAATAACAGAAATAAATTTTGTATATAATGAATTTTAGAATATCTATAGAAGTGAAACATGATAGAATAATCTTTTGTTTTAGTACTATGTAGACGTTGGCAGCCCTGGAGATACTCTTGTACTGGATGGATTTAACCCTACTACACATACAGTGTTTGTCAGATGGGTAAACAAGATTGGGGTTAACAACTATCACAGCATGGACACAAGAACAGGAAATAACTGGAAAACGTAAGCGTTTTGAAGTATAGGTTTCCAGTTTTGTTTGTTTTTTTTATTTTGCTTTTGTTATTTGTTTTTATTTCTTTTTTATGAACTACTACGAATTTCAATAAAATTTTATTAACTTGTAAAGTTGATAATTTTTTCTTTCATCCTTTTTGTTTAAAGTTCCTATATATACCCCTGAATTATATCATTTGTAACTACTTATTCCCCAATGTAATCTAGAATTGCCATGCGAGCTGTTTTCATCTTTTATCTGACATAGACATTTGTAACTCGTTCTCCTCATCAAAAGCTGAAGCAAATGAATCGATTAAGTAAAAAAAATCCAAGACTGATTTTACGATATTTTAAAACTTTGATTCAGACCGGATCAAAAATAACCATCTAGAATAAAAGTTGGCTTAATAACTGAAAATTCGAAGATCTTTAAGAAAACCTGTGTACAAAATATGTCAGAAAGTCTCATTGAATGGTATTAACCGAGAATAATGTATTTGGTGCATATTAGCTACAAAATGCTACCTTCGTCAGATAACTTATATAGAAGCTGAAGATAACAAGAACTATGTGTTTCTTCTTGATAACCGCTATTTCAACTAAAACCTACGTAAGAAATGGTTCTTTTATTTTTATTACTTGGTGTTGTTACGTAGATACTTACGAGATATGTCCGAGACACGATGTATTCACAATAGATATTATGTTTTCCGTCAAGATTTATGCCAATCATTTCATCTTTTCTGACAGAGCGTATAGGGAAATACATATGTATACACAATTTGTTTTGACAATTTTTACACCCTTTTAAACAAACTATTAGTAAAAAGAATAGTTCTTAAAACAATTCTAAAATAACGTTGTTGTCAAGTGAACTATGCCGGATCCTTCCGGTGACTTTTTTCGTTGTAAATCAATAAATGTTACATATCTAGGAATCGATGATGGGAATTTTTTTTTACGTTTTATGTTGGTTTTTTCTTTTATTGTTTTTAGCTACATTTACCCAACGAGCTCTTATTCTTTTTAAAATCTTGTTTTTTATTACATATAACTGTTTGTATCAAGGTTTGATCAGTAGGTCGAATAAGATAATATACATTCAAGTTCGAATCAAGCATTTTAATAGTAAACAAATAAGTATGTTACAGTAAATACCTTGTTCACCATCTTTTTATTTCTTTTTCTATGAAATTTTACAATATTTCAATTGCTTAATAGTATAGAATAATTTTATTTTAAAAAATATTTGGGCATTTTCACCATTTTCATGTGGATGATTACTCTAGCTCAACAATTTTGACTGTGTTTTTCTATGTATGGCGTTGAAAATGATTTGACACAATGAATGAACATATTTTTTTAGTGAAACGTCTTTTTGTCGTACATCTCATAGGTTCAAAGCAGGACAACTTTTCATTTCGTATATTATACTGTCTTGCCCAAATTTTTCTTCTTTTTTTTTGTTTGAATTTATTTAGTATTTTTGTTACGAATTATCAAATGTACATTGACAACGAGGAACTTTGTACTCTTTTTTGTATTATAAGTGTTTGATAAATTGCTGCTATTCTTAGTTAGCCCTATCATTTTAAGAACAATTCAAATTATTACTAGTACTTTAATATTTTACATGCATATCTTAACTTTTCTTACAACATACATGAAACAAAAGTAAAAATATATGGTTTACGCACAAGAAATAACTATTAGATGAATACATCATGTAAATGCTGAAATAAATCTCCCTCTTTTTTGCAGTCAGACGAGCTTTGATTACCACAGTGCTCTAGCCTCCAGAAAAATCAAACGTGGACTACCTAATGGTGTTTATAACTATTTAGATACACAGTCCAGGTGCACTTGAAAGATCTAAATAATCCAGCTGTCTCACTGCCGTTTTTCATTACAAAATAAAAAAAATCTTGAACATTGTGGGTTGAATAATTCATTGAATTCTTTAGTTTTGATGAAAAGCTATTTATTTTAAATATTTTGGTATAATTCTATGCTCAACCGAACCGTCGGATCAGGGTAAGCTATGTGCATCACTAAACGTCAGTCCATCGTTTCTCATCCTTCTTTTAAATTTGAACACTTCAATTTTGAGTTGTAACATTCTAATAAGAATCAGATCTTTAACTCTGCTCCTTTTATAATTGTTTGCATCGGCTTACACTTTACATGACGCGGCTTACACGCGCGATAAACAAGTCTTACGGATCAGAGTGGAAGATCTTATTTTAATTCGATTGATCATGTGAAATTAATGAGTTAATGTGGACTCAAAATTGAATAACATATATTAGGTTTATTTTGTTGAAACTACATTGATAATCTGCACTGAATAGTTGTTTGGTGTCATATAAATAAAACACCTTTGGGTATAAAAATAAGATGTGGTATTATTGCCAATGATACAACTTTCCATCAGAGACCAAATGACATAGAAGTTAACACCTATAGGTCACCGTACGGCCTTCAACAATGAGAAAAACCCATATCGCATAGTCAGCTATAAAAGGCCAGAGTTCAGATTTTTGTGTTGGTCGGTTTTTACTAGGGTTGTTACACAGTTAAGTATGCAATTATAATAGATACTTCGTCTGAAATTTAGTCAAAGTCAGATCTACAATTCTCGGTAGGATTTTTTTATCCTCCCCTCGGCATGATGTAGGTGGCCGAGAGTTCTACGGGACTTTGCACTATGCAGATGTGTTTATCAAATGTCACATTAGCATTGGTATGATCCCGTGGATTGAAGGACAGCATATGTTTACTGAAAATGTGCAAATCTTACAATTTCCTGCCAAATTTTAGAAGAAGTATTTGTTATTCATGCATTACCTCTGTATAAACCTTTGATACGTACATACATTATTACATATTTCAAAAGTTACAGGTTATAATTTTGCTTTTAAGACTAGGCATAAAGATACGTGTATTTGTAATAAATTTTTTAAATACATTCCATTAACGATTAGTGGTTTGAATATTTTTTTTATCGAATTTGAAAGCTCAAAAATGTTTTAATATTTTATTTCATAGGTAAATCCTCCCATGTATCTCTGCTCAGGTGGTGCTTCAACTTTCAACACTGCATGGTGCCCGTGACTTTGGATACATTGAGTCTCTGAAAATATTAAAACTTGATTAATGCATCTGGAATGGGTGTTTCTTATTTTTTCTCCTTGATGTTTATCTCTTTTATTCAAATCTTCCTCATTTATGTACTTTACTCTTCCAAATACATAATAATATTTATTCTATAGCTGTTTTGTTGTCCGGGCTTTGTAATTTCTTTAACAAAATTATTCAGCTACAGTGTATTAGGTGGTTATTTTGTCTAACCTTTCCATTTGATTCATACAACCTTATACATAATGACACATAAGATAACACAATTTCTGCAATAACGAAGGTCGATTTAAGCCTAGCTTTCTTTTTCTTTCTGTTCATGTTTTCAAACTTTTTCCTAGAACTAGTAAGAGTTTCTAATTACAAGGTTATACAATGTATGCCTTATCGTATGCAAACTTCATTCATTTTGTTTCAATAATATTTGAGACCATAAGGACGGTCACAAAAACAACAACTTCCGAAATAAAAGGATAACCGTCTTTAGTCAAATTTACCTGAAAGAATTGCAAGCTTAGTCTTCATTATTATTCCTTTTGTTTTATTACAGTTAAATTGATTAATCATTGCATTAAAAACCGAATAACTGGGATATAATGTACTTGCACAAATTCATTTCATTTAATGTTTTTAAACTCGTTCCTATAGACATATAGGACAATCTAAAAGTATTAAAATTCAGAATGAATACAATTTGTCTTCATTACCTGATGAGAGCATTTTCAAGTGTGTCATTTTGCCAAATGAATTGTCATAGACGGTAAACGCATCACCTCCAAGCCAGTCAGTAAGACACAAACTGTATGGCTTAGGTTGATTGAACAATACTTTTAGTGAACCCCTTGGATAATTCCAGTCAATGGTTCCTTTTAAACAAGATGGCGTTATGACAACGTTCTCTGTTTCATTCTTTGGTATAAATCTGCAATTATACTAGTAACATGGAAAGATAGTAGTAGAAATTAAGGCAACAGTAGTATAACGCTCTTCAATAGTCATATATCAATTTAACTGAAACAATCCGGGTCACAAACCAAAACCGAGGGAAACACATCAACTATAAGAGGAAAACAACGGAACAACATAAACACTGAAAAAACAGCTGATCACACAATAGCAGCATACACAGATTTTGTATACGTTATCATTGAAAATATAAACAATGCACAGCCTCACATGCATTCATATATCTTTTTACAGTGCGTTTCATATTAGACCTATTTGGAAACTGCTACAAAATTCCATCTAACTAGAAACTGAAATTTGCCTTCTTATCGAACACGCAATATAGCGCTATGACCTACTTGTATTTAGAAACTATTCTTTGCATTCTCATTACATAAGAACTATAAACATCGTGTATGTGTGTTTGGAAGTTGACTAATATTCAAAACAAACCTCAATAATATTACTATATTAAAGTAGCTTCATATTGAATGAAACGTAAATGTAAATATCTTTGATGACTAAATCGTTTGTGCTCCACAGAAAATCAAAAGGTCGGAGCAAATTGAACATTTTTCTGTCGTTTCTGTATCTCTATGAAGCTTTACATGTAAGGTATTCACCTGTTGACATTCAATGCTGTTTATATTGATGTTTATATAATTGATATAGTTTAATAAATTAATTGTCAAATGTTGTAAACATGTAAACCTTAGGCGCGGATTCAGACAGGATCACAGAACAAATATGTAATGAATAATATTTAAAATACGAATTTTGAACCAGTGTTCTTGTCAAACCGATTCCTAATGGTGAACGTAAATTTTATATAGTGTCGACTCAGATTTTATTTTTCAGAACCCTGTTCGAAAGGTTTTTTGTGTCAAGAGCCCTTCCTTTTTAAGGAAGTCCGTATAATGTAAACATGCACAAGCGTAACCTAACAATTGAGATATGTAAACGCCATAAGACATGACAGAGGTTATCTTTTTTTTTGGAGGGGGGGGGGAGGAAGTTGACAATTGGAGAGCCAAAATCATCTGGTATGTCATGGATTTTAGTTTGAAGTCATCAATCTGTGTCAATATCAATAAACTCATCACAAATTTTAAATTACAATTTCTTGCTACAAACATTTTCAATCTAAAGGCATTAAATCTCTATTGGTCAGGATTAATTCTTTCTTTTTTTTTATGATAAATCAGTGTCTATGTGCGATAGAGAGGCAAAAGATACCAAAGTGGCATTCAAAGTCACAAGTCGAAAATAAACTGACATCGCCATGGCTAAACAATAAAAAGACAAACAGACAAACAACAGTACACAAAACACAACATAAAAAACTGAAGACTGAGCAACACGAACCCAACCAAAACAGGGGGTGATCTCATGTGCTCCGGAAGAGTAAGCAGATTATTTTGCATATTTGGCACTCGTCGTGTTGATGCATGTTAGCACAAATTTTGGGATAAGTGAGTCTTACTTGGTAGGTCACAATGTCACATTCGGGTAAAAGAGGACGGGATTGTAGTTACGTCAATTGGAATATATCCGTTGGCATCTGAGAAACGGATATTCCATAACGGTCAACCAACTCGTGATGGCATCCGTAAAATTTTGTGAAAACTGAAATAGCATAAAAAGGCAAAATACGTGTATTTTTCTTGGATTTTTTCATACATAATGTTATAAAAAATTTAGACAGCAAAAACGATGTTGGTGACCCAAAATATGTTTAAACTCATTTATATTAAAATAGAAATGTTCATTGCAATAACATGTCATTTCTTAAACAAAATTCTTCACAATCTATCTTACCACTTAGTGACGTTAAATGAAATATTCCAAGTTTTTGTTTTAATATAAATAAATATGTATTCATTGCTTGTTTGTTAATTTAGGTTAAGCTATCTTAATTATTGCACTTGCTTACCCTTTCGGATAAAAGGTACAAGGATCCATAAAAGCAATTGCTGTTTGTACAGACAAAAACATAGCAAGAAAAGCAAAAGTCGCCATGATTCCTCTTAGTCGTATAAGGTTACAAATAATTAAATTTCTTATCAGATCGTTATCAGTTCATTTCTGTTAATCTTGACGTTTGACATGATCAGTCCAATGTCAGATATCTTTGTACGGCTAGTTGTAAATTTTAATAAATATTAATAGCAAAAGAAAAACGGTCACCTATAAAATGAAGATGAAATAGAGAGACAAAAAACAAAGTAAGAGATAAATAATGTATAAAGTATCAAATAGTGTATACTATTATGTCATAAAGAGGATTGCCATAGGTTACGTGTGGGTCTCCTCAACATAGCTATATACAGATTCACAATTAACAAAGAGGTTTCTTTACAGATATGTTTAACACAAGACAAGACAATATGTTCAGGACAAGACATAAAGATATAAACTTCACACCCATCCAACCACTCACCAATTCTTACTAAGACGCACACGACTTGACAATCATGTTGAACTCAGATGTATAGAATAATGATTAACGAAAGACGAGTTTGAGTGCAATCAGGTCAACTGAAGAAAAAATAAGAATAAAATAAAAATAAAAAATAATATACAATCATAGGTTTGAACGTTGTTTTCAATTTAGACTTATTTATAGTTTTTCGTTTGGGCTTGTATTATATTTGCCTTCGGATTCATCCTATTTCGACTCATCAAAATTCAAGAGTCTATCCTAAATTGAGGTAAATTATATGGCCTTCCAAATACCGTTTCGATTCCTAACATCACTGAAGAGACATTAATTGTCGAAATCAGGATATGGTGTACAAATTTTTGCAC